TAATAATAATTATTATTATTATCATTATCATTTTCATTATTATTATTATCATTATTATTATTATTATTATTATTATTATTATTATTATTATCATTATTATTATTATTATCATTATTACTATTATTTTTTCTTATTATTATTATCATTATTATCATTATCAACTTCATCATCTTTATTGATCATTGTTATTTTTATTACTATATTTATCATTACTATGATCGTTATCGGTGTTACTCTCATTGATGACGATATTAACAATCTCAAATGAACGAACATAAAAACCGTTTAAGTAGAATCAGGGGCAGGGGAGGGATGCAGCATAACAACATATAAGAGTTTTTAGTAACAGTCCTGCCCAGGTTGGCATTGGCAGAAGATTAAAATTCACGAAAAGAATTTATACAAAGGCTGAGTACAAGTCAAATAGCGATACCTTTACTGGGAAGTTGTTTGAGTGTGCGTTCAAAGGAAAGTTAGCCCCCCCCCCTCATTGCCTCCTCCCCCCTGCCCTTCCTTATACTTTACTCCTCGCCCCCTCCTCCTTCATTGCCCTTTACCCCCTTCCCTCTCCTTTCCCCGACCCCTTCCTCCTTCCTTCCCCTCTCCTTCTCCTTCTCTCCTTGCCCCCCCGTCTCTCTCTTCCTTCCTTACCTTACCCCTTCCCTCTCCCCTTATCTTTACCCTCACTTGCCCCTTCCGCCTCCCTTCTACCTCCGTTACCCCTCTCCCTCCCCTTCCTCTTCCCTCCCCCCTTCCCCCTCCCCACCAGGTGGCGCCACGGTCGAGCGGTCGTGTTTGCTGGACACACACTGCGCTGACTCCAAGGAGGCTGCAGGAGAACAAGGAATGTGTAGGCAAAAAGAAAGACTAATGGCAGATGGAATTAGAGAACGGATGATAAACAAGAGGAGAAAATATGAAGAAAAAAAGCTTGTTTATGCCGCACTAATACATCTACACGTGTACGTATTGTACATAAATATATATATAAATATGCAAATACATATACGCACAACCACACTGTAGACACACGATCACAAAGGGAGAGGGAGGTCTAATGTTTCTCAGAAGCCACTCTGATTTTTTCTTAAGGAAAAATATATCGATTGGCTGATTGCACTGAGGCCCTCGAGATAGTCATGCAGATACCTAAATTTAGTGGATTAAGTTGATGGTGAATGATATCATGGAAGCGAACGTAAGTTCAAACAGCAATTAGTGCGCAAAAGCGTTGCCTCCTTTGTTTCAACAAACACACACTCGATCGTGACGCCGAAGCAAACCACGTGGCGAGAGCGGTTGGCAGCCCTGCGGTGACGCAGCGGTTGAAATCCTAAACAATGGGTTTGGAAATCCCTCGATCTGGAAATGGCTGCCGCTTGCCCACAATAATTGCCCTTTTGCTCTAACTCCGATTCAGGATAAATCGTACTGCCGCTGTGTATCAGTTCTGTTCGGAGTAGAGTTATTCCCTTTTCAATTGAAGCTGTAAGATGGATGTCATGGTCAGTGAGTTTCCAGCAGAATTTAAACTCAATATTTATGGTTTGGCTTCCTGATATTTCTAAGGATTCGACAGGCTTGCGAAAGATATAAAGGTCGAGCCCTTGATGGAGGGAGAGATCACTTGGACCGTAAAGAAACTTCTGGAACCAGTGCGGCCGAGATGAAGCTGCTCCTCATTCTGATTCTGGGTGAGTTCGGCGGCCAAGGGACAGCTCGCTCCCGCTTTGTTTCTCTCCCTCTTCAAGGCTTCTGGATTTTAAACTCTGCAGGTAAACGCATCGTTATGGGAAATTCGAAGGGTTGACGGTGATAGCAACTGCAACGAGCAGAGCGAGGAGGATAATGCAATTGCACATATTTTAACAAAGAGGTAGGGATGAACAGACGACAGGATAGCAGCAGAAAAAGACAAAACTGCAGGTAAGCAATTCATGATTAAGGGTTCAGCGACAAGAAGGTGAAAACTAATGCCTCCGTATGTCATACAGCAGCCTTGAGTCATTATGTAGCTGAGAAGAGGCTCCCGCTGCATGACCCGAGTGCGGCCGCTCCTTGACCCCTTCCTCTGCCGCAGTGGGCGTGGCGGCGTCGCAGCGCGACCTGGGGAGGTACGTCGCAGGGCGGCCCATCAGCGGGGGCGTGTACCCGGGCATCCAGCCGTTCGGAGGAGGCTTCCAGCGCCCTCGTCGCTTCGGGCGCTCCCCGCAGCTCCCTCCCAAGCACGCATTGCTCAAGCCCGCCCCTCGGCCGCACCTCGCGCAGCCTCTGCCAGCAGCGGCACCGTGAGATTAACCGCGACCGCCTTCCCAGCAGCACGCTGCAGAGGCCTCCCGGTCGCCCTGACCGCTGCGACTCATCCGGCTGGCCGCAGGCCGCCTGCGCTCCCCCCGGCGGGCGGTCGGCGGTTGCCAACGCAATGAACATCATTTGCGCCCTTGTGGTCAGGGCTGGGTGCAGCTTGCTGCAGTCAGATGGAAAAAAGTAAAAAGAAATTAATCACTGTAATTCGTTTTATTTCATGAGCCTTCGACCAGAACAAAGATTGTGCGGGCATAATAACTGTGGGAAAAAACAGTCACTGATGAATTAAATTTGTCTATGCTCTTCACTGGGTGATATATACATATTGCATATATATATATATATATATATATATATATATATATATATATGTGTGTGTGTGTGTGTGTGTGTGTGTGTGTGTGTGTGTGTGTGTGTGTGTGTGTGTGTGTGTGTGTGTGCGCGTGTGTAAATACATAGACAGACACGGAAAGACCGGTCGAATGGGAGAGAGAGAGGGGGGGAGGATGAGGTTGAGACACAAATAGTCATGAGAGTTCTTGATGCAGAGAGCAGCAGGGATGGTGAGGCATTAACTGCTGGAGAAATACGAAAGTGGGTAGAGTCACCAGAAGTAGTTAGACAAAGGTTTAATCTGACCTCGTATAGATTATCATTGTTGTTATCATTATAATCTTTCTGCTGTGTTAACTATGAGGATCCTAGAACATACAAATAAAGGTGTTGTAAATGCCAGCTTCACTAATCTGAGGAATCGTGAAAAATAGATAAAACGCACATGTTCCCCGGCATTATACCTGATATTGAAATGACAACAATAAACTCATCATCCGCCCCTGTTCTCACATTCCCTCGTTTCCCGACCACGTCGTACTGGCTATTAACACAAGATTGGGCAGGCTCTGACGCATTTGACATATTTCCTGGCATTGTATTACAGCATTACATTTCAAATTTAAGATATGACAGAACCATATCTTCTAGTGTGTCAATTGAGAATGAATAATCACCTTCCACCCCGACGTGCTCGGAGATATAACACATATGTTCACTTACACACGTTATTGTCATGTTTACACTGAATTTCTTCCACACTGCATATTTCACCAATCTGCCTTTGCAGTCCATTGACAACCCAGATTCTTGTGCTTTCCATTTCCCATGGTCCTGCAGTTTTACGGTCTTCACGAGATTATTAACTCAGTCAAGCTCTCCTTGCAAGAAGTAATATTCTAATATCTTCCTGTTTCCAGCACCTTTATTCAGAGTTTAGAGCCTGGGGAACACTGTGATTTGCATAAAAGAACTCGCGAACCTTGTCGTAATAAGAAATAATAATAAGTATTCCTGTCAACGAAGTTTGCGGAGTGCTAGGCACGGCCATGGTACCTCCTGCAATCCATGTAACGAAGGAACATTTTCATACATAACACTAACGGTCCCTGTTCTCTTCTCGGGCTTTAAAGGCCTGTCAGTGTAGCATTCAGGTACACTGTCCAGATTTCCAGATTTTAACTGACAGTTGCAGAGAGAGCAGCGTCTAATTAAGGACGTTTGCCTAGTCCGACCTTAATGAAATAAGGCGCACAAAGACCACAGGTTAGGTAAAACGACTGATATTCTGTTATTCCCTATTTTAAACGGGTTTATTGGTCTTATGCAAAACTATAGTTCTTCTGTCATCATTGTACCTATCATTTCTATCATAAATATTGTCATCGCTATCATCACTATAGCCGTCATTATAATCAACAACAAGTAATAATAGTGATAATAAAAACAAAACAATCATGACGGTGGTAGCGATAATCATAACAATAGTAATGATAATGATTATTATTATTATCATTATTATTATTATTATTATTATTATTATTATCATTAATATTACTATTACTATCATCATCATTATTATTATCATTAATATTAATATTATTATTATTATTATTATTATTATTATTATTATTATTATTGTTATTATCATTATCATCATTGTTATTATTATTATTATTATTATTATTGCTATCATTATTATTATTATTATTTTCATCATTAATATTATCATCTTTATAACTATGATGATGATGGTAATTTATTATTACTATTATTATCATTATCATCATCATTATTATTTCTATTTTTATTATCTTATTATCATCATTATCATTACTATTATTATTATTATTACTATTATTATTATTATTGTTATTATTATTATTATTATCATTATTGTTACTATCATTATCATTATCATTATTACTATTATTAGTAGTAGTAGTAATTAGAGGAGTACCATCAATGTTATTGCTATTATCATCATTTATATTATTAATACTATAATTATTGTTAATATTATTATCATTATCTTCACTGTTATTATCAGTCTACTATTAATATTATCCTAATTATTTTCATTCTATTATCATCATTTTTATAATGATGAGGATGATGGTAATTTATTATCATTATTACAATTATTATTGTTATCATTATCATCATCATTATTTCTATTTTTATTATCTTATTATTATCATCATCATCATTACTATTTCACTATTGTTATTATTATCATAGTTATAATAATTATTATTATCATCGTCATTATCATTATTATTATTATAATTTTGATTAATATTAATACAACGTGCGCGGTTGGGGACCATGAGGTTCGGTCAGCCAGCCATATTATTGTTGTTATCATTATTATTATCATTATGATTATTATCATTATTATCATTATCAATAATATTATCACTGTTATTAAAATCATTATTATCATTTTTATAAAAAAAAAAAATATTATTATCACTATTACTATTATTATTATCATTATCTTTATTATTATTATTATTATCTTTAATATCATTGTTACCGTTGCTATTATCAGCATTATAATCATAATAATCATGACATGATTTTTACGCAATATGTGCCACCGTCCTGATTCGAATTCCTGTTAACAGGCAGAAAGACCGTTAGGCTGAAAGCCGTCGCCAGAGACGAGCAGCCTCTCCCCTGTTCTATTCCTGGACCTTTGTGACGCCGTTGCTTTGGACCAGTTGCTTGATGAGCGAAACTTTGTTGACCCAGCGCATTGCCAGCCTCTGCTTTCGTGGAGGCTTTTTCCTCTCTCTTTATCGAAAGCCTCGACCCTTATTCGCTTTCGGGGATCCTCAACAGGACGCTTTCGTTTCAAAACTAGTCCTCCGCCCACCAGAAGGCTGACAGTGGAGGGGCTTCAAAGCCCGAAGTGCTTGCAGCTGGCACCAGGCCTTGCCCTTCGGTTCTCGGAAGGGCAAACGGGCGTCCTCCAGAGGGATATAAAAGAGTGCAGAGCCAAAGCCCCAGCACACTGCAGCGGGATTCGCCGGTGCAACGTGGCTAGGAGGACCGAAGATGGCGAGGGTTATTGCTGTGCTGCTGATCGGTGAGTAACATTTTCCTGACTTGCTTTGCTTTCAGAGGAATTGCAGAGAGATAGGGATTAAATCTACGCAACTGGTATTGTTTCCTGAGACAAATGAGAATTTTACATTTACCGTGAAGATTGAGGTAAAGCATATATGTATGATTTTCATGCGTGTTTAAAATATTTCTGAATATCTATTCGTCAAAATTAAAGCATTCTCATTCTCCACGAAATCCGGACCCTTTGCCCCTTGAGTCGTAGGAAGAGCAGTTTAGTTGGCAGGAGAGCAGGTCCCTTCCGAGGCGAGCGCAGTCTAAGCTTCGTTCCTCCCTCAGGCGTGTGCGCCGCGCTGGCTGACCGCAACCTGGAGAACTTCACTCCTGGGCGGCCAGTTAACCACGGGCGCCCCGGCGTGTCCACGGGGGGCCGCGTCCCCAGCTTCCAGAGGCCTCAGGTTGACCCCAGGCCATTTGGTCGCTCGAGGCGCTCGCCAGACTCTCCAATCCCTCCTCCAGGCCTCCTGACCCGCCCCGTCCCCCGCCCACGCCCGCAACGCTCACCGGACTCGCCGCGCCCTCCTCCCGGCCACCTGACCCGCCCCTTCCCTCGGCCACGCCCACAGCGCTCCCCTAACTCTCCCGTGCCCCCAGGCCACCAGACCCGCCCCCAGACCCAGCCCACTCCACCTCCAGGCCACCAGACCCGCCCCCAGGTCCTGCCCGCCAACCTGGCCAAGCCCGCCTCCCGCACGAAGCGCTCGCCCAACTCCCCGACGCCACCCCCAGGCTACCAGCCAAAGCCGCAGGTGCAGCCCACGCCCCCGCCAGGCCACCAGCCCGTGCAGACCCTCCCGGCGGAGCTTCCCGAAGACAAGACCGCACCCATTCCCCCGAAGACGGAGGGTCTGAAGCCGGCGGAGAAGCCCCAGGGCGAGCCGAGGCCTTCCCCCGCTGACCTGACCAAGCCCTTGCCCCGCCCCCAGACCCTCCCGGCCGCCGTGCCCTAGGAGCCGCTGGCGCAGGAGACCCGGCAGGGAGGACCTCCGTCGATCGCGCGTCGGCGTCGGAGAGAATCTCGTTTATCTGTTCAGAATAATTCTTAGTCAACTTTTCAGTCAAAAGACCTGTTATGGAGCCTCATTCATGAAACCGAACGCTACTCTAAAATAAAGAATCAGACTTTCACCTGCTTGTCTCCTTCCTTTCTGAAACTTTCCTCGGTGATAAATGTGAAAAAGCTCAAGTTGTCCCAGAAACCGAAAATCGTGTGTCTGCTACATGCATACACACACACATACACAGACACACACACACATACGTGTGTTTTTTTCACTACGTATATACATACAACTATACCCCCCCCCCCACACACACACAAACACAAACACACACACGCACACACACATGCATATATATATATATATATATATATATATATATATATATATATATATATATATATATATGCACATACACACATATATACATATATATGTATATATATGTATATTTGTATATATCATCATAGAACGGTTAATTCATTGCTGAATTGCCGTGGTCCTCCAAGCATCTCTATTCTGTGAGTCTACAAATTTCAGCAAAACTCAAGCCACTGATCTATGTTATCACTATAGCGTGTTTTGGGTCTACCTTTTTTTCTCTCGCCATAGACACAACCTGTTATAAGATCTTTTTCTAACAAATTGTTTCTCAAAATAGCATATTTTTCGTTGCCAGCCTGGTTACCTACTGGGCAACGCGCTCCTTGGTAGTCCAGGCGACGAG